GATATGTTTTCTTGAAACTCAGTGCTCACTTCAATACTCATGCAGGAGAGAGACCATATAAATGTGAGAAAGGTGGTGGAGATTTTGTTTTCAGTGCACCACTCATGAACCGCCAAGGAGCCCATACAGAAGAGAAAGGACACAAATATTAGAAGTGGGCAAGATGTATTGTTCAAAAATGTTTTACTTATGTGAGAGAGTTCCCACAGGAAAAAGGCCATACTAAGGCTAACAATGCCCAGAGTGTCTGGCTGAGATTGCAAAACTCTTGTGGCATCAGGGAGTTCACAGAAGATACAAATCATGAAGACAGCAATCTAAATGCAGTCGTGAAGAAAAACAAAATGCAAAACCACAAAATCTAGAGGCTGCCTTCATTTTGACAAACCCATATCCCACCTGAGTGCACAATAGCATTCCTCTGTATTACCATTTTATTTTCTCTAAGCAACCTGTATCTTTCTCAAAAGGCAAGAGATAAGACTTCTGAGTTACACCTAGCCGTGCGTTTTCAGGGAGCAGGGGGCTACCATTTCCTTCCCGTCTCAGTGTGTGGTGTTGCATGTCATCTGCCTAGCGGCATATCTATCAATGAATTGTGAAGCTCACAGTCTCCATTTGGAGACTGAGTAGAAAGAACTACACAGCTGGCCAACTCTTTACAATTCTGTGCCTTTCCTGCTTCTGTCACTTTTTTTTAAATCTTAAAACTCTCTGTTGAACTCAGGAACCTGCAGTCTTTTAGAATTTTATGGCATTTTGGACAACATTTGGAAGTCTGCAATAGAGAGAAGCTGTGCATTTTTTTCCAGGGGATCTGTTTGCTCACTTTCCACATCTTAATTCACATCAGAGGATACATTCAAGAGAATAAACCAATCTCTCTGTTTTGTTGAGAACTTTCCTGCTTACAGGCTGCCAGTGCTTGGAAAGCTGGACGTTATGCATAATATGGAGGTAGTCTTTGTAAGGGGGAATGAAATGGAAATCCAAGGCCAAGCTGAGTTGGTAGATCAAAAGAGTTGTTAGCAAGAGTTTGGGAAGATTGCAGAAAAATAAAATGTGCTGCTTCTTTAAAACTCCATAGTTCTTAAAGTATTGCCTGGGTGGTTTACAATTATGCTGGCTACACATTGTCTCCTAACCCCCCACCCCCCGCAAACCAGATACTCAAATGTACCAACCTTGGAAGGCTGAGTCAACCATGAGCCAGCTACCTGAGCTTGTCAGGATCAAGGTCATGAGCAGAGTCTTGACTGCAGCACTGCAGTTTAACCACAGCACCATGACGATCTGACTTAAAAGTCAGAGTGAGTCTCTAAAGTGATCCCATCCCAGGAGAACTATCCAAACAGGGAACAGCCAGAAGAGAGATCAGGCTTAGTTTGGCAGGTGATCTATCACGGAAGAAGGGAAAGTGTGCCAAGCGCCAGGAGCACGGAACCGAGCCAGGCAAGGGAGAAAATGGTTTCCACAAACTCAGCTAGGGTTGGGGCAGTATATTTATATATCTAGAACAGCTCCCGAAGCTGAGGCTCCAATACTTTGGCCATCTCATGAGAAGAGAAGACTCCCTGGAAAAGACCCTGATGTTGGGAAAGTGTGAAGGCAGGAGGAGAAGGGGACAATAGAGGACGAGATGGATGGACAGCGTCACCGAAGCTACCAACATGAATTTACCAAATTCCAAGAGGCAGTGGAAGACAGGAGGGCCTGGCGTGCTCTGGTCCATGGGATCACGAAGAGTCAGACACGACTTAACACACACACTGTGGTGTAGATCACTGGTTCTTAACCTTGGGTTACTCAGGTGTTTTGGATTGCAACTCCCAGAAGCCTTCACCACCAGCTGTCCTGACTGGGGTTTCTGGGAGTTGCAGTTCAAAAGCATCCGAGTAACAAAGGTTAAGAACCACTGGTGTAGATGATATTTTTTGCGAAAGAAAAATAAAAGAAAATATTTAATTATCAGCAATCTGCTGGTGAAGTAATTTCCATGGTGCACTTCGAGCTTTGCAAGGGGATACAGGTCAATAGCCCGTATTTATAGTCCACTTTACTTTTTTTCTGTCTTATTACTCTGTGTTCTTGATTTTGCCTGTAGTTTTCCTGTGTACACAAAAGCCCTGGTAGGCTCACGAGCAATAAACTGACTGAGCTGCTTAAAGAATTCTCTTACAGTCTTAATGTGTGTGAGTCCTTTCCTGTTCCAGGGTTCCCAGGTCTTCTATTCATCTTGTGTTTATCTGGACCTTCAATACATCATCCTGAGCTGCAGGGTGTGTGTGTGTGTGGCCTTCCTTCAGACAGAGATAATACAGGAAAATTATACCAATCTTTATCTGTGGAGTTGTGGCATTTGGTCAGAACCTGTTGCATCTCTCTGACTTTGGAATGAAGGTTGCCCTTGTCAGAGAGAGGGTAGGCCTCTCCCTGTACATCTGTCTGAAGGGGAGTTTGTCCGAATTAGTGGCACCACAGTGGAGGTGCAAAAGTGGAATAGATTGTCCTTGATAGCAGTTAGGAATCAACGTTAATTCTCTGGGATTGCTCACATATACATTTGTGGTGTTGGAAAAAACTCAAGGGAAAAGGACAAAGGTGCTTTGGAAATTATGTAGGCCCATCATTTAAACGACCAACAAAGACTCCTGAACTATTACGTTTTATTGTATACAGGGCTTTTGTGCTGCCCCTCATAGGTGGTGGCTATCTTCCTGGTTTGCCTACATTGTTAAATCCCTTTTCATGAGATGTGAAGATGGTTGATCCTGAAGGGCACAACCAGCCCTAGGTCTTTCACAGTCTGAGGCAGAGTAACAAATACCACCACCTGAAGATGGCGATACCTCAGGCCAACCATATTACTATTTCGGTACATAAGGCAGGCAAGCCCACAAGGAACTGTTCCCCCACCACCACCCCCGTGGCAGTAAAAATACTTGGGGAAAAAAAATAGGATCTGCTACCTTTTCATTACATCCAAAAATCTACTCCCTGAGGTGATGCTCAGGGTTTGTATTATCTCTGCCACACTAAAGATGCAATTATGTGCCAAGTGCCATCAAGCTGCATTTGAATGCTGGTGTATGAGGTGCTTAATAAAAATTATCATGTGCCATCCAGTAAATTCTGACTTTTCCAGGGTTTTCCATATACAGTAGAGACTACTCAGATGTGGGGTTTACCCTTCCCTTCTTCTGGGAGCATTTATGGGACTGTGCTGCTAGCACAAGGCCACACAGGCTGGCTAGAGGCACTGTGGGGAATTGAAATCCAAACCTCATGAGGTGCTGAAGGAGGGATTAAATATTCCCCAGTGAGTTTTCATGGCTGAGTGGGGATTTGAATCCTGGTCTCCTGAGTCCTGGTTAGTCACTTTATCCACTATAACATGCTGGCTTTCCTGGATGCAATAATTGCAGTATTTGTAGCTTGTGAAGTGTAACACCTTCAGGATGGTGGGAGCGCAGCACTTTTTAGCTCCTGAGGTGCTGCCAATAAGAAGCTCTGAAGGTGTTTAGGACAGAATGGAGGATTTGAGAGGAAACCAAAGGGAATTCTCAAAGGCTTTCATGGCCAGGATCCGATGGCTGTTGTAGGTTTTTCGGGCTGTTTGGCCATGTTCTGGAGGTTTTTCTTCCTCCAGAACACGGCTAAACAGCCCGAAAAACCTGCAACAACCACTACAGAGGGAAACTCGGGTGAGGAAGATAAATAGCCCGGCACTAATTAACAACCCCCCCTCCCGTTATTCTTGGTTTGCAAAGCATCTGAGCCTTACAAGAATACTTGGGAGATTAATTTGATGAATTGAGTGATGATGCTTTCACGAAGCAGTGCTTGCACATTGTCAATTCTACTTCACGTGCTTGGGCAGTAGAGTGGAGAGGTTTGGCTTTGTAATGCCAGGAGCCTGGCTTGGATTCAGTCATATGACAGGAAGCAGAAAATAAACCTTCCACCAGCGGTGCCTTGACTTGCGAACTTAATCCATATTGGCATGGTGTTTGTAAGTCAAAGCGTTCGTAAGTCAAAGCAGCATTTCCCATAGGAATGCATTGAAAACCAATTAATCCATTCCACCTGTTTTTTGTTCTTATGTCAAGGCACGGTTCGTAAGTCGAAACGAATGCAAAGCCAGTTGATCTGTCCTCTACCACTAAGGGGATGCATTTTAGACCCCAGCAGCCACCAGAAGAAACCTTTGGAAAAACATTTCTGATTTTAAAAGCAAAAGACTAAAATGCATTTTAGACTCCCAGCAGCCAAAGAAACCTTTGCAAAACCATTTCTGATTTTAAAAGCAAAAGACTCATCTGCATTTTGGATCCCAGCAAAGAGAACAAAGCAAAAAAGCAAGGGAAGCATGCATGAACCATTGCAAAAGAACAGAAAACAAACGGAGCAGATCAGAAATGCACAGAGAACAAAGCAAAAAGCATGCAAGACATATCGAAACCTGTGAGCTTTTAATAATAATATTCTTAGAACTGCAGAGCTGGAAGGGACCCTGTGAATCATTGAGCCCAGCCCCTGGCAAGGAGGCACAGTGGGGAATCGAACTCCCAACTTCTGGCTCCACAGCACATAGTGCGAGATCCTGGGCTTCCTTCATCTGGAAAACAGCAGAAACAGAGGGAAGGGGATACAGCCCGAGGATTTATATATAGCGGGGGGCAGATTTTGTGTTTCAAACCGCTCCCTCTTCCCGCCCCAACGGGTGACCAATCAATCCCAAACCTCCGGGGGGGGGGGCTGCCCTTCATCCATGTGCTCGGGGATAGATTAGAATGGGCTCGTGTTTCTCTTGCCAGGAACTTGGCGCGGCTTCGGTCACGTGGCGGGAAGTGGCAAAACCAGCTTGGCTGCGAATGGAAACCGAAGAAAGGCGGTGCAACATCCAAAGGGAGGCGGGGAGAGAGAAAGACACTTGGCGAAGGGGGGGGGGGAAATACAGTAATTAAAAAAATAAAGCTACCCGAGTGGAAGCAGGGATCCTGGGGAGGAGAAAAGAGGAGCTGCAAGCCTGGGTTGGAAAAACAAAAGTCCTGCACCAAGAAGGAGGAGGAGGAACAACAACAGAGCAATTGCTGGGCAGGGAAGCAATTGAAGAAAGGGGGTTGTTTTTGCTTTGCCGGAGAGAAAGAGGAAAAAAGGGAGGATCTGAAGGTAGAGACTGCCATCTTTCAGGGGGGATTTGCAAGAGTTTGGGCATCCTGGGGCTAGTTATGAACCTGCACCTCGCTTTTGTCTCTCTGACTGGCCTCTGGTTCTGCAGGTATCTCTAGCAAAGCCTGCCAGATCTATTTAGCAAGAGGGGGGAAAAGGACGGCGGGGAGGATGTGCTGTGGATCAAGTTGGGCCGGCCAAGGTCCTTTGAACTCTTCCCCTTGGCCTTTTGCACCTTGAAAGGCTAGCAGTCCTGGGACTAGGTCTGGACACAGAGGGCTAGCCTGAAATCAGAGTTGGGTTTAGATCTGCTTCCCTTTGCTTCGCAATTCCTGCCCCCTTCTCCAGTCTTTCTGAATGTTTTAAAAGGATGGCTCATCCTCAGTTCTAAGTGAGGGGATGGAAAGCGGTGTGAAATTTTGAGTATATGTGTGTGTGTCGTAATTCTCCTCATAGACAGAGGAATGGGGAATGAAGGGTCCTCCAGATGTTGGTGAGTTGTATTTGTCTGAGTCAGGGATCATGGGAGTTGATCCCTGTCAGATGATCCCTGATATGGGAGTTAGGGATCATCTGGAGCAGTGGTCCCCAATCTTGGGCCTCCAGATGTTCTTCTTGGACCGCAACTCCCAGAAGCCTTCACCACCACCTCTGCTGCCCAAGATTTCTGGGAGTTGAAGTCCAAGAACATCTGGAGGCCCAAGGTTGGGGACAACCAATCTGGAGAACCACAGGCTTCTTTCTGCCTTCCCATAGTGTATGGTAAATAATAATAAACTTGGATCTGCTGAGCTGGAAGGGACCCTATGGATCATGGGGCCCGGCCCCTTTCAAGGAGGCCCGGTGGGGGAATTGAACTCCCAAACTCAGAGACCTAAATCACTGAGCTATCCAGCATGGCTTGTCATTGTGTGTGTGTGTGTGTGTACGCGCGCGCTCAGGACACTTATATTTTCTCCAGTTCAGTTCTTCACAGCCTCCACACAGATTTGCATTAATTTCTAGATATGGAATTTGAGAACAAATCAGAAAAGGATCTGCAAGGAATATGAGAAGTGGAATGAGGACTGTTGGTTGTTAAATGGGAAAGGCGACCAGAGATGACTATACACACTTAATTAATTTCAATATTGTATTAAATGATGCCGTCATCCAGAAGGTCTCTGAGCAGTATGCATAACCTAATAACCATAAAGAGGGTGTAAAACGTAGAAATATACAATTTTATTTTAACCAGCTGAGTTCTAAATTGAAAGCATTTGGGGCAATACTGTATATAAAAAAAGATAGGGGATGATTTCAGTGTTATTCGTGGAAGGCTGTTGTAGAGGTTATAGTCGAGAGAGGACTGACCTGGTGCTTATCCTTCTGCTAGTAGATGGTAAAAGGAGCAGCAGGGCTGTGATCTTAAAAGTTATCATGGTGATCATATTTACCACAGTGGTTTTGTAGTAGCTCAGTTGCTTTAACCTAAAGTGCTTAAGCACAATATGTTTTCTTAAAGTGAGAGGCACCAGACTTCCAAGCCTATAAGGAAGCTCTGTTGTTGGTCTCTGCTGCGGATCTGACCATTTTTGTTACTAGTCTGGGACATGCTTGAGCTGGTGATGCTTAATGGTGAAGAGAAAGTTCTCTGTCCATACCCAGAGGCACTCTAGCCCTGCCTGTTGCTACTCTATAGCTTTTAAGTTTCTTGACCAGTATACTTCAGGGAAGAGCCTTTTCCCACATGAACCGATTCAGACATTTTGGTCAGTGACTAAGTCACTCCTAGGAGTTAATGTGTGTCCCTGCTTGAAGTATTGGAGGGTGGCTGTTCTTGCGTTCCCCCACAGTTTGCCCCCATAGAGCTGCAAAAAGGGCTTTTTAAGAAGGCATTCAAGAGAATTCATCTACTTTTCCTACAGATCTTTGATATGGGGGGGTGAGTTTTTGATCCAAAGATGTGTATGTGTGTGTGTGTGTGTGTGTAAAATTTAAAAAATTGTGAGATCATCTATATTATCCAATATAGATAGTATTAATATTTTCATAAATGTTTCCCGAGAATTGGCGTTGTGGGGTGGGGGGGAGGGAGGGCAGACCTAAGAATTACACCCCACAGCACCCAGAGATGAGCTAAAATGCTTCCATGAGTCTCCAGAAAGGAAGACAAATACTGTATCAAAGCAGACATTTTGGGAAGGAAAGGTGTTTTTCCCCCCCTTTCAACGTGACTTTGAAGTCTGGGTGCCCATTTCCAGCTGATTATCTCAGCCAAAAGATAATCTCCGTTGTGCTTACACAGTGTTGATGCACCACAATCCAGAGGTGAGAAATACTCCCTTAAAAGCTAGAGGGACCTGAATGAGATCAAACGCATCTTAAACCGTGTCTAGAACCTGATATACTAATCCCTTAATGGTAAGCCTGTGTTATTAACTTTGGTTGCAGAACTGTGGCAGAGGCAGAGATGTGAACTGAGAGCTTTAACGGTGGGGCCACCGCTGTGGAGGGTTAGTGCTCATTCTTTGTCCGCAAAAGGTCCATAGTTTAATGTCTTACTTAGAAGGATCTGGGGATGAGAAAGATCTTTGATCCCAGACCCTGGGGTGGACAATACTGTGTTGGATAGACCAACAGTCTCTAGCCTATAGAAGTCAGCAGCATCCTGTGTTTCAGTGGCTTTGGGGTGTGTTTGTCCCAACCTTAAGCTCTACACTGTAATTTTAATAATAATAATAGCATGCCATCAAGTCAGTTCTGACTTACGACAATTGCAGGGTTTTCTAGGTAGACAGTACTCAGAAGTGGTTTCCCCTTCCCGTCTTCTGGTGGGAGCATCCTGGGACTTGCAGCTTGCTCAAGGCCACCCAGGCTGGCTCTTCTCCCAGGTGACAATATGGCTGGCCTCTGATGTATCCTGACTCCAGTTTCTCCACTTCTTGCTTCACCTGAGTCACTCCAGAATTTTTTTTCTAAAGATTTTTCACTTCTAGTCCTGCAAACCTTGAAAATATAGCCAAATTATATAAAAGTGTCTTGATACCTGCCATTCTGCTTTTCCTCCCTGTTCAAAAGGATTTCAGAATATTTACTTTTTTGTTCTAGTGTGGACTTTCTGGAATAGAAGGTAATCCTCTCCTTGCTTTGAGTGCTAAGTTATTATGATTGTGCCTCTTCGTAGTGATGACTTTGTTGCTTTATTTCTGATCTGTAGCGGGAGGATTTCTATGACATGTCATATTTTTTTCCCTGCAGACTGTGTATGACCTCATGGATGGATTTGAACATGTTTATGAGAAATCAGTCAAGAAACGTATTGCTAGAGGTGAAGTCAGGAATATGTAGTAGGTAACACTGGATGGATTTGAACATGTTTATGAGAAATCAGTCAAGAAACGTATTGCTAGAGGTGAAGTCAGGAATATGTAGTCCTCCAGGTAACACTGGATTACTCATAAACATGTTTGAATTTGCTTATAAGTTCAAATGTAAGTTGCAAAGAAAATGTGAAATGTCGTAGAGACCCTCCTACTGATCAGTGTTGTTGTTTGCTGTTTTCATTAAATGATATCATCCTGGTTGCGGAATATAAAGTTACACAGACTGAATTTCAACCAATGTGTTCTGAATCCTGCAATCTATAAAAGGGAGATGATTGTTTAAAGTGAGATAGAAGATCATGATGATGTTGAGAGGCTCTTCAGACAAGAGTCTGTGCTAGGAAAGAGCATCTATATTGATTTGTTTGGTTTGATTAGGGCAAAGTGCCGTACTTCAGATCCTGAATCCCAGCTGAATATTTATTTTCTTTTGTATTGATTAGCACACTTCCCATTCATCAAGCCTGATTTAATACACCAGTTTGACTCACAGTTCCTCTAGTCAGCTTATCTGGAAGGATTATGGAGGAGGATACAGTGCAGAACACCACAGGTGAGGGAATAAAAGCACAGATCATAAAAATTACGTATTTGCTCTAAACTGCAACCAACATGAAGTTGACCCAACTTTGGGAGGCAGTGGAAGATAGGAGGGCCTGGTGTGCTCTGGTCCATGGGGTCACGGAGAGTCAGACACGACTAAACTACTAAACAACAATGACGACGTAGTTGGGGGACATGCGAACCTGCAGATGCTACTGAACCTGAGTTCCCATCAGCTTACCCAGCATAGCCAAAGTTGATGGATGATGAAAATTACAATCCAGTGTTACCTGGAGGACTACATATTCCTGACTTCACCTCTAGCAATACGTTTTCAAATTAATTTCTCCTTTTCCCTCAGTTACAAGCTTAGTCTCTTAACCCTGTCCTCTTACAATTTTCTTCTGGTCAAGAATTTTCAGATAAGTGCCCATGTTGGTCTCTTGCAGCCAAAACAACCAAGAGTCTTGTAGCAACCTGAAGACTAACACATTTTGTTTGTCATAGACTTTCGTTGACTGCAGCCCACTTCCATGAAGTCGGTTGCAATCTGCAATAGCTCATGCCAAATACAACCTGTTAAACGTGCACAGGACTCTGTTGTTTCTCCTGATCAGGGTCTCCTGTTGTGACCATCAAGCGGGAACGAGAAGAGGAGCCTCAAGCCCTGCATCAGTGGGAGTCTAAGCCTCTGCAAGAGACCAGCACGGGTAAAGTATTCACTTTGAAGGACTTTCTCCTACAGCTGGATTTTTATTTTAGAAATGTGCAGCTGCTGTATACGTTGGTGCCCTGCTAGACAATTACCTCACGAAACGACAAATCAGCATGATGATGAGTTTTTGCGATCGCTATAGCGGTTCACAAAACAGTGTTTCCTATGGGCGATTTTCGCTATACAATATTTCGGTCCGTGCTTCGTAAGACAGTTTTTTTTTCCTGGACCGATTTTCGCAAGACAACGATTTTGACAGCTAGGTCCGCGACTCGCAAAACAAGTGTTTTCGGGACTGATTTTCACAAGACAGCGATTTTATCAGCTGATCGGCACTTCGCAAAATGGTTTCTCTATGGGCAATTTTCGCAAAACAACAACGATTTGTCCCCATGGGAACGCGTTAAACAGATTTCAATGCATTCCAATGGGGAACCACATTTCGCAATACAGTGTTTTCACAAGACAGTGATTTTCGCTGAATGAATTAACATCATCTTGCAGGGTGCCATTGTACTTGTAGACGATCCAGACGTATGCACATGAATTGAAATATTTGCAGTAATGATATCACATTTTCCAGAGTTTCTTTTCTTAACACTCGCTACGGTATTATTTTGGTGAGACAACACTTTCTGCCACCTAAACGTTCAAAATAATTGTGTTATTAATGTCCTACAGGATCCTCAGGATGACTGTGAATTATCACTGTCATTATTTTAGATCTGTGATTCTCTGCCTTCAGTTCCCAGATATACTTGGACTACAACTCCCAGAAATCCTGGCCAGCACAGCTAGCGATGAAGGCTTTTGGGAGTTCTAGCTTCAAGAACGTCTGGTGAGTCAAGGTTGGGAACCTTGACTCACCAAACATTATTTAGACAGATGTGGTGTATAGTACAATCATCACAAGCTGAAATTGAGTAATAACTCAGAACTAGAGTAAGTCCATTGAATCAATAGAACTTGAACCAGAGGCACCTCTCTTCTCCTTCCTGCTCCTGAGCAGCCGCTGCACGCCCCATCCATGGAGGAGCCCCTCCGACCTGCGCGTCCCAGCCCAGGGCCTTCAGCGGCCCTTACTCATGAGTAGACCCACGCCTTCAGTAGGCCTTACTCATGAGTAGACCCACCAGGGATGGGCAAGGAGCGCACCGGCTTCCGATGCCTGGCAGAAATTTGGGCAGGGAGCGCACCGGCTTCCGGTGCCTGGCGGCAATTTGGAGCCACCCCCGCCTCTCCTTCCTCCTCCTGCGCCACAGGAGTAAAAAAGTTCCCTGACCCCTTACTCTAACCGTTGGGGCAAAAGAGCTACAGTACAAAGAAGCAGCCTGTTCACCACCAATGATTTGACTTTCCCGCCTTTTTCTGTTCTTAAGTCGAAACTTCGCTCACAAATCGAAGTTTGAATTTCCCGCCTTTTTCCCCTGCCTTTATCTGTTCTTAATTCGAAACTTCGCTCACAAATCGAAGTAAAATTTTGCGACCGGAGCTGTTCATAAGTCAAAATGTTCATAGGTAGGCGCGTCCATAAGTCGAGGCACCACTGTACTTCCTCCAAGGGAGGGCATTAATGGCAATTTGTTTTGCAAAAATACAGTGGTGCCCCACATAGCGAGGTTAATCCGTTCCGGATTAACCGTCGCTATGGGGAAACATCGCTATACGGAACAAAAAAGCCCATTGGGCCCAAAACTCACCGTTATGCGATGTTCCTCCATAGCGCAGGCATTTTCGCGCCCTCGGTAAGCGAGGGCAGGGCGCGAAAACGCTGCGCGTGGCCATTTTGGGTGTTCCGGCAGCCATTTTGGAACCGCCGAACAGCTGATTTAAAAAAACCGCTAAGCGAAAATCGGTAAGCAAAACGCTTACTGATCGTTGCAAAGCGATTTTCGGCCATAGAAGTCATTGGTATGTGATCACATTAGCGATCCCAAAAAAGGATCGCTATGCGAATTCGTCGTTAAACGGTGCGCTCGTTATGCAAGCCACCACTGTATCTGCCTCACCCAATATTAATATAGAAGGATTATATTTTTGAGGTCAGTGACAGTTAACAAAGCATCTTAAACATCGTCTACTAGCAGTCAAATCTCTGGCTGGAAACGCCTAGAAACTGGGGCAAATTGCTTCTGTTCCTTGAAAAGGGAGCATGTTAACTCACAGCAAGTTCTAGATCGCCAAACCATTGTTTAAAATTAAAAGCTCCTGGTAAGTATTTGAGAGGGTGCAAACAGCGTTCATAGCTCTGTACTTCAAATCATAATTGCACTTGAATAATCTCTCTCTCTCTCTCACACACACACACACACAAACAAACAAATATATAATATCTCCTCACCCCCCAAATTTCTCTTTTCTGTGTACTCCAAACAGGGTTTCCAGTTGCCAAGCCTGATCTGATGTCCTGGCTTGAGAAAGACTCCTGGTTTCCTGATAAGCTCATCTTAGAGAAGATGGAGGTGGCGCCACAGAACAACTCAGGTGAGGGAACAAAAACATACACATACTGTAAGAGCTAAATATTTGCATTAAGCTGTAGACCACAGATCTGCAACCTAGGGCCAGATTCTCGGATTTTTAACTTGGAAATGTACTTCTCAGAGCAGTCTTGGGAATGTACTTCTCAGAGTACTTCTCAGAGTACTCTGAGAAGGGGGCTGAATATTAAATCGCTTTTGTTCTGCCGTGTAGATAAGGCACTCAGAGTACTTTGGGATTTGTAGTTCAAGGAAGTGGACTTGAATCCTCTAGCATAAATTCTAAACACTTTGCCAAACGATTCCTTTGGATGGAGCCGTGACAGTTAAAGTGCTACAAAACTGAGATTACTGACTGTTGTAAATACACCTGCTGTTGTATTTTTTTTAATCTTTCAAAAATGTATTTCTATATTGTTTAAGTGGCTTTTATTCAGTAGTTGTAATTGTGATACGCTTAATTTAAAAAAAATTGCAAGGTATTTAGCTTGTAGCTGTTTTACTGTTTGGTTGGGGGTTGTTTTTTTTTTAAGGTACCTCATAAGCTACCTTGGGTCCATTTCTTTGGAAAACAGGAGAGTGTTAAGTACTTAAATAAATATGTTTGTCTCTGTGTGAACAGAAGGTTGGGCCATATGGGCTTTCAGTCTGATTCGTCATGGCTCCTCTTATGCTCTTACATTTCTTACAAGCTGCAGAGGTATCCTGTGCATCTCTTTGGGTGGCTTCTGATCCTTACTGTTCTTCCCCCAACCAATATCCCAGGTCCAAAGCCTGAACTTATTTCTCAAATACAGCAAGGGGAAGAACTGTGGGAGCCAGACCCTCAGGACTGGGATGAAGCTGAAATCTCTGATGGCAGATCAGGTGACTCATCAGGTGAGCCAGACTGATAATAATTGTGTGTTGTCAAGTCAATTCTGACTCATGGTGACATTTTTCAGGGTTTTTTAGCTAGAGAACAGAAGTGGTTTTCCCTTCCTTTCTCCTGAGGATGTCCTGGGATTGCGCAGCTTGCCCGAGGCCACACAGGCTGGCTCTCCTTGCAGGAGGCACAATGGGGAATTGAACTCCCAACTTCTTGCTATGCAGCCAGATTCCTAAACCACTGAGCTTTCCAGCCTAATAACACACAAAATAAAGAGTAGCTGACAGCTGTTGAACCACACTTTTGCCTCTGATTCAGTTACAACATTTGGACAGTCACTTGAGAGCAGCCAAGGGCTGGGTGTCACCATGCTGGCACCCAATTTGCTGATGTCGTTGCAAAGGAAGATAATCTATTTTCACCTGGAAATAAGGTGCGCCTTCCCTGTGTGCCTTCTTTAGAAGCAGGACTATGCTTCCAGGAGTGTAATTTAATTGTAAGAAAGGTGTGCAGGGAACGTACATCTTGTTTGAAAGCTGCAATAACTTGTCTTCCCCTGCCCTTTCTGTAGCAGAACATCTGCTGCAGGAGAAGAGACATCTGGGTGAATGCAGAAGCGTGCACCCTTGTTTTAGCTACTGTTAAAAGCCAACAGTAGCAACACAGCTGAAATAGGGCCCCCAGTCCTGGCGAAATCATGACGTGCCGGAGGTAACCCTACTTCTCAACCTTTCCTAACTAATCTTTTGTGTTTAAGAGTTCAGCACTTTGTTTCCAGAAAATACGCCTGTAGGAAGATCAGAAAGGGGCACGTGAAACAACAACCATCTCAGCCCGTTCTTCGTTCCCAGGTTCTTGTACTCAGGCAAATTAAAGGGTTCTATTTAGCTTTATTAGTGACATACTTTAACCATACTTCTGTATCCCCAAAATAGATAAAATCAATGTGAAAGACACCAAAGGCAAATTAAAAAAAAAACAGAATCAAGAAATTAAAGAATAGAATATAGGAAACTAAAAAATAGAAACACATCAGCATGTGAAAACAAAATAAAATCAGCAGCAAAAAATATAATATTTTCCTGACTTCTAAAAGCACTACAGTTCTTAAAATGTCAGTAGCAATTATAAAGTCTTCATCTGGAACCTTAAAAACCACAATATATGGGTCAAAGCCTTCTGAAAGGCAAAATTTACACACTGCCTCTTCTTCCTAATTCTTCTGTTTTAATGCTTCTTTTATTTCATGAACTTAAAGGTTGTTTTAGTATCTTTAGTATTGTGGGGCAGTGGACTGCAGCCAAAACTGTGCTCACGACCCGGGGTTCAATCCCAGGTAGCGGCTCAAGGTTGACTCAGCCTTCTATCCTTCCGAGGTCAGTAAAATGAGTACCCAGCTTGCTGGGGGGGGGCAATGTGTAGCCTGCGTAATTAACTTGTAAACTGCCCAGAGAGTGCTTGAAGTGCTATGTGGCGGTATATAAGCAGCACACTTTGCTTTGCTTTCCTATTATCTTCAATTTCTTCTGTCTCATCTTTTGGAATTCAGTGCTTCCTATGCTTGTTCTTCTTCCCAGCAGGGAACCAGAAGCAATCAGATGGATCTGTAGAGCACAATGTTGTTGACCAGTTGGACAGCCATCAGCAAACCCAAGCAGAAGAGGAAGATTTTATCAAAGAGAAACCCCACAGACCTGAGAGGTATATTGCCCAAAAAGTAGGTGTTCCAAGAAAGGTCCGCAAGGGAAAGAAACATTATGGATGTGAAGTGTGTGGGAAGAGCTTTGCGTGCAAATCCCACCTTGTGGAGCATCGGAGAGTCCACACAGGAGAGAAACCCTATAAATGCCAGGAATGTGGCAAGTCGTTTGCTCAGAATTCACATCTTGTGATCCACCGGAGAGTCCACACAGGAGAGAAACCATACAAATGCCAGGAGTGTGGAAAATGTTTTTCTTCCAGTTCAGTTCTCGTGATCCACCAGAGAGTCCACACAGGAGAGAAACCATATAAATGTCAGGAATGTGGGAAGTGCTTCGCTTCCAGTTCAGTTCTTGTGATCCACCAGGCTGTCCACACGGGAGAAAAACCCTACAAATGTCAAGACTGTGGGAAATGTTTTGCCCATAGGTTCGTACTCATGAGGCACGAGAGGCTCCATACTGGGCAGAAGCCATACAAATGCCAATGCTGTGGGAAATGTTTTGCTTCAAATTCACATCTTGTGGAGCATCAGAGAGTCCACACAGGAGAAAAACCGTACAAATGCCAGGATTGTGGAAAGTCCTTTGCTCAGAATTCACAGCTTGTGATCCACCAAAGAGTCCATACTGGAGAGAAACCATACACATGCAAGGAATGTGGAAGATGTTTTGCTCAGAATTCAAACCTTGTGAGCCACCAGAGGTTACACACAAGAGAGAAACCATACAAATGCCCTGTGTGTCGAAAATGTTTTGCTTCTAGTTCCCAATTTGTAATGCATCAGAGAGTTCATACAGGAGAGAAACCATTCAACTGCCAGGATTGTGGGAAATGCTTTGCTAAGAATTCATATCTGATGAAACACCAAAGAGTTCATATAGAGGAAAAAGCATACAAATGCCAAGAGTGTGGGAAATGTTTTGCTCAGAATTCGTACCTTGTGATGCATCAGGCACTCCACACAGGAGAAAAACCATACAAATGCCAGGAATGTGGGAAAGGTTTTGCTTCTAATTCACACCTTGCAAGCCACCGGAGAATACACACAGGAGAGAAACCCTACAAATGTGAGAAATGCACAAAATGTTTCTTTCGAAAGAGAGAACTGGTAAGACATCAGACAGTCCACACCGGAGATAAGCCATACAAGTGTCATGAATGTGGGAAGTCTTTTTCTCAGAATTCATACCTTTTGAGGCATCAGGCAGTCCACACAGGAGAAAAACCATATAAATGCCAGGAGTGTGGGGAATGCTTTGCTCACAATTCAACCCTTCGCTACCATCAGAGAGTCCACACAGGAGAGAAACCCTACAAATGCCAGGAGTGCGGTAAATGCTTTGCTGCCAGCTCATATCTTCTGACCCACCAGAGAGTCCACACAGGAGAGAAACCCTACAAATGCCAGCAGTGTGGGAAATGTTTTGCTCAGAATTCATATCTTGCAGCCCACCAGAAAATCCACACGGGAGATAAACCTTACAAATGTCAGGATTGTGGGAAATGCTTTGCCTCCAGTTCAGTCCTTGTGATTCACCAGAGAGTCCACACAGGAGAGAAACCATACAGGTGCAAGGAGTGTGGGAAATGTTTTGCTCAGAATTCAACACTTCTGAACCATCAGAGAATTCACAGAGGAGAGAAACTGTATCATTGCCAGGAATGTGGGAAATGGTTTGGTCGGAATTCACAGCTTGTGCGGCATCAGAGAGTCCACATAGGGCGAAACCCGGAAAATCCCACTTCTGTGGAAAAAGTTTTCTATACTGTTCAAACTTTCGGCAATGAAAGGTAGCTGCCTTGGCACCAGAGAACAATGCCCAACGCATGTTGGCCTGTTGTTATCTTCCCGGCTTTGACATACTTTCAAACAACGATCTGTGGATATTTCTGATAAAAGGATTTATTTTATATCCAGGTAACTAAAACATGAGAATGGAAGGCTGTGAATTTTATTCTGTCTGTTACAAATGTGTGCTTTGGGTACAGGTTAATTACGTTCAAAGACACTCATACCTGGACATGACTGGTCTAAGGAAGGGAAAGGTAAATTATTAGAACTCTTATATCTTATTCTGAGAGGAGTGTAAACAACTCTGTTTTTCCTTAAGAACTGAAAGGACCAAAATTTGATGTTAAAATCCCTTTTTTTTTTCTTTTTTCAGTAACATCTTTCAGGGCTCTGCATTTAGAATATTTTCTTCTGACCATCCACACTTAATCTTCTACTCCAAAACTAACCTTGGAAATATAGTATTTGAATGTGCAGTCTCTAGCAAATGTTTTTACCATAGTGATTATATCTTCGAATCATTAGCAAAGTCCCTGTAGCATGAAGGGTCATGGAAGTGTTAGGACCAGATCCGAAAGAAATTACTTTTTGGAGAAGAATGTCTTCATCAATGAGTAATCTGATTGAGAACCTCTGGAAAAACCGCCTCTTATCAGATGGATCCAGTCAAGGTCCTCATAGCCCAGCATCTTAATTCGGACACTGGCAGGAAAGCTGCTTCTGTGAAAGTCAGCAAGCAGGGCATTCGTTCTTCTAAGCATATGACAGTCTGATGTACATAGCAATGTAATTAATGGGAAACCATCTTAAGTCCCTAAACATGCTATTTCTTTGGATTTAAAATGAAGGTTGGAAGCATAAAAATACGTTCTGGGTACAGCCTATGATGCTAGGTTTAAAAAGACCTAATTAACATTGATAATTAGAAAGTAGGAAATTAATGTTGTGAAGGGTAGGGTTTAATTTACTATAACACCTAACTGGTTCAAAATTGTTTATGTTTTATAGAAGCCATGGAACTTACAGACAATGGCATGTTTGACACCATTGCCCCCTTGTGGCATACTTTGTTTCTACTGTGTCCTTCAAAATGCTTATTTTTTAGTTTCTAGGTTCTCTTCCTGATACTTTCCAGATGCATTAGCTTACTAATCCCACTATCTGAATGGTGACTGGAATGGGTGTGGCTTTCGTGCAATGCAACCTCTTTATCCATATCAGTGTTGGAACAGGGAGTGCTGGCAGGAAAGCTGCTTTTTAAAGTCTTGGGATGGTGGTGGAAGGAGTTAAAAGATAACTAGAATGAGTTAAAAGATAACTAACCCAGAAGTACAAGCTGGATTCCAAAGGGGCAGAGGAACCAGAGACCAAATTGCTAACATGCGCTGGATTATGGAGAAAGCCTGAGAGTTCCAGAAAAA